AGTAAATTTAGCCTACTTTTGCTAAAAGAGAAAATATGGACTAGTGATAGTGCCTTGAATAATATCGGCTTTTTTCATTCATGTTATGGGTATTTTTATACAAAGGAAATTTTTTTTTGCCTGTTGAAAATTAAAGTTTACTGACATAGCCATAAAAAAATGTTGCTTTATTTATCTGACCGTATTGGAATGTATTTGTTAGGTTTTCAGTCAATTAAATTTGGTTCAATAAACAATATGTGGTCATTTTTAAAATTTTCAATGAACATTCGATCAGTCCGGCCCTCGGCTTGCAGCAACATTTTTTATCTGGCCCTCCGTCCATTTGACTTTGACACCCCTGCTATAGAAGTTCAGATGAAAAACACGGCCTGCGATGCTATTGCCCCAAAACAAACCAAAAAAAAAAAAAAAGGCGCTGACCTGCCCGCCGCCTCTTCTTTGACCATGTGCAAGCATGGGAGAATAAGTCACAAATCGAAATAGAAACATTTCGACGGATGGAGTCGCTCTCAATTAGAAGAAAGTTGATTGCTATTTGCGCAAGTCACAAACGTGTCCCCGTGTCATGAATAACAAGTTTACCAAGGCTTTCTGTCGAGTTCTTCAGAACCGAACCGAATCATGTTTTGGATTCGAGAAATGCAGGCTCAGACAAAGTGCAAAAACAAATATATTTATTGCAGAAAAGTACAGGCTGAAATCGCTGGCCACAAGGAGCTCAAACACAATAAAAACAGAGCATGACACTTTCCGGCAGGGCTGTCGCTCAGCCCGCCGCGCTCTTGTTCTTGAGACGGCAAACCTGCAGCGCGTCTGCTGGTCGCGGCCAAGTAGTGCACCCCGGTGGCCATTTCCATCTTTGGCACTGGTCGAGCGATCGGTCCAAAATGTTCGGATGAGGAGCGCAATCATTCACGTGACTTTCTGATCAATGCGCGCTTTTTGGCAGATTTGTTTGCTCAAGCGAAAGCGATGATGGAAGAATCGTTCTCGTGCTCTCGGCCTTGGCTCCGCGGGCTCCCTCTCGGGGGGTGCCAAAGAATCACTTCGTTCATAACTTATTCTGATAAAGTTGACATTTCAAACCGCAAATCCAATCAAACAAAGAATACAGAAATCCTGTCGAAACCGTCAAGCACATTTTTGGAGGACCATAAAATCCCATTCAATCGTGACTTCAATGACATTCAGTTCTCGAATTAGTCAATTGATTGCTACAAAAAAAAAAAAAAAAAAGTCGTTTTAAAACCCCCCCCCCCCCCCCCAAACCAGAAACCTTTGAGCGTGACTTAACAGAAGCTAAATTGCTCTCATGGTCCGCTTGAAGAAGGAAAAACGTCAGCGTTTTCAGAGGCGGTGCGATGAGAACGTGCTCAGCAGGCCCACTTGTGTTCTTGACGTCTGGAGGGAGAAGAGCCGAAGCCAAGCGTGAACGA